GTATCAAAGCATTCAGGCTTGTAGTTTTCAAGAAGAAGTCGAAAAAGTAAAACATGACACGGACGACAGACACAGGAGGATGGACGACGACGGACAATCACTCATATGATAAGCTCCGCTCGACAAAGTTGACAGCGTAGCTAAAAAGTGGCATACAATGTAACAAAACAATTCGGGATGGCATGAATTATGGTTCAACTCTCAAAATTGAATCCCAATGGAAAAATTCTAACAGTTTTACTATGAATGTCAGACACTGCTAGAGAATTCCTATTAAGTGAAGTAAAAACTGTGGCAGCATGTGGAGATATGCGAGAATTATCTCTACGTGAAATGATGTTTTGAAGAAATACACCCTGTGGTGAGAACAATTGAATTGCTGACTGGCTACAGACATAAATATTGTCATTTCCGTCTACAGCAACACCTTTAGGATTTTCAAGCTCTCCATTTTCTCTCCCACGTGATCCAAACTGATAAAGAAACTGTCCAAACGAGTCAAGAACCTGCACTCTGTGGTTGTCATTGTCGGTAATGATGAGTTGATCTTGGCTATTTACTGCTATGCTCCATGGGAATTTAAATTCTCCAGCACCGTCCCCATATGAACCAAAAGTTCCTACATGACTGCCATATTGCGTAAATATTTTCACACAATGGCAACTCCAGTCTAGAGCGCAAATTCGACCATCTGGCAAAACTGAAACATCAAAGGGTGTGTCAAGTACATCCATGCCAATCTGTCTAATCAATCGTCTTTGGTTAACATCATAGATAATAATACAACTATTGGCAGCATCGGCAATGTAAAGAATGTTATTTTGAGTGACACAGATACCAGCTGGTTGGCAGGCTTCTGTAATTCCAGGTAGATGGAAGACATGTGCACGTCCATGTAAACCAGCATATTGGTAAATCATGCTTCTATCAGAATCTGCTACAAACATACATCCTTGTTGAGATGCTGCTAGTCCACAGGGACGATGGAATTGCATGTCACACTGAAGCTGAGGAATTTGCCTATCCATAGAAAATGTTGATTCTGGATTCTGGGTTGATTCAGTGGCAATGCTACTTTCTAACACTTCATTTTGGTCCATTTGAAGCATCTGCCAGGATCCATTATCATACACTGTAAGTGGAATACTTTGATCAGTTGTTTGAACTTGGACCTCAATTTGGTGCTCCACTGAAGATGACCAAATATCTAAAGTTACACTTGTAAATTTCTCCTGTAAAACTGTTAACAAATTACAATAAACATTTTCCTCTTGAATAAGAAAGGAAATATCATCTTTATCATCCAAAAGTGATTGTGCTAATGATAAAGCTTCTTCAACTTTAAGGATCCAAGAAGAAGACCATTCTGTACTTGACAATTCAGATTTTGAAATCTCCACTAAGTCTCGCAAGTTTTCATCAGTATCACCTATAAGCAGTTCTTCTTTCTTTGTTACCATATCTTTGAAATCTTCCTGTACAGACACTACCCTTAACATCAGTGTTTTGATATCAGCTCTGCGTTTTTCAATGATACCAGGTAAACACATAAACTTATGACTACAATGTTTCTCATTTATTGTCACACACTGTAAGCAGATAGGAGAATTACACTCTTGACAAAACAGTTTCATCTGAGATTGTTCATGGGAGGTGCAGTACACAGAAGACAGCACAGGTAAGATGAAGCAAGTAGAACATTTGGCCAGTTTGACCCCACAACTGCCATTCTTTTTTATTTCAACAGCACTTAGAATATAATAATTTGGTAAGAATGCTTCTATCCCTTGGAGAGGTATAATATGTTTGGCTCGACACAGAGCACATTTCAGTTGGTCTTCATTGTGTTTTCTTATGTTTTGGATGCACTGAAAGCAGAATGTATGTCCACATGGAAGGAGTCTTGGTTCATTGTACACATCAAGGCAAACTGCACACTTGAGGAAATCATTCTCCATTATAACCTGCAAATAATGAAGTTACTGTTAGAATATAAACACCTGTGTTTGTATGGGAAGTTAATTGTTTTTGCCAAAAAATAAAACATCTGTTGTACTAAAAAACAATTCTTGTTGCTGCCTGTTGCTATGCACATAATTGGGAACTAAATGGCGCGAGTATTTCATTTGACTATTTTACATCTCAAACAGAGAATGAAGCAGCTAAAAAAAATTAAAGCAGCACATTATGCAGAACAGGTATCTGAAGCTTTTCAACAATATCAATAGATGAATGTCACAATTGTACATTGATAGATAGACCAGCTTCTTTTTATCATTTAAGAGAACTAACCATGAGCGAACTAGCTATTCACTAGTAAGCATATCCGTCTATGGACCTTCCCTACACAAGTTGGTTGATTTCACTATGATAGCAGTGCACATCAATACCAACAGTGGGTTTTTTGTAGCTTTTATAACTTGCATATAGATTATGTCATGCATATTTTTCTGAAACATTGCAAAATACATAATATTTAATATATTATGATATTAATCTCCTAAAATGTTAGGATCAGATCAACAATAAATATATATACTCATAAGAAATTCCAGCGCCACTATGTGTGTTTATTGTATTTACGATCATGTTAACGCCCTCTTGTGTTCGCTTTACATTTTGCTACGCATGCTCTGTTCTCTCGTTGTGTTTTCCCCGCCATGTTGGTTCTGTTTTCCCGTTGAGAAATAAACGGAGTTACTCGCTCGTTAGCACTCCAACTGAAGTGTCTGGTTGTAGTCCAAGCTCTGTATACAACAGGTCTGTGTCCATACTGGCGCAGATTAAGAAATTTGGATCAAGAAAATAAACTTGTACCATGTATGGTACATAGCACCGTATACCTTAACGACGTACTCATAGTTAAAGTTAATGCCTACTGTATTCATGTCAATATTCACCCACAAAGACATCTAAAATCAGGGTTTTTTGACAAGTCTGAAAATGTCACAGGAAACTGAACACTAAAGAACTTATCACAACAGATATAAACAGTTGATTAGTGGAAAACACAAAATTTTTAATTTGCATAAGAACCAATGGAAACATTACACATGAACGTGTACCGGAGCTCACACCTCACAACGCATTGAATAGGCAAGACGAATATGAAGAGAAAAGGGGAACATATCAATACGCAAAAATAGGAATGAGTACCTGACATGAAAGCGCAGGTCGTATTATGGAGCTGAGTCAGACAGTGAGCAAAATATGACTGAGGATATTGACAGCGAGGATGGAGACACACCAGAAAAACTTAGTGTGTCGTCTTCGAAACATTCTCCACTGAGTTTGTTTGTTGATTCGAGATGGGGAATTGAAACAGGTAGTGTTGAGGGGTCCTTGAGATTTGTGAATCATGACATTCTTACAGAACTGTCAAAGCAAGTTCTCTATGTTCAATTTGGGAGCAGTACACTACAGATAGGCAAATCATTGAGGCACGGATGGGGGTCTCATTTCAAATTCATTTGTTCTAATATAGAATGCAGCCCCACACTAACCGACTGTTTTCCATCTTTTCAGAAACGAGAACATAGTACAACTCTGGTGACCTTGCCCTTTGTTATAAAATCTTTTTCTTTTATCAAAGTTTGTTTCAGTATGAACATGCATTGTCATAATTAATTTTGAATACAAAGAAATGTACAATTCAGGCACATATTGGGGGCAGCATATCTGCATGCATGTTGGTATAATTTATGGCTCATATTGAGGGCTAAACAACTCTTTGAAGGAAGTGGGGAATTCAGGGCACAAATCGAGAGCAGACTATATTTTTATGTTTCACTCTACAAAAAGAAATCAACAACTCTGGACTACAGTATGAACGACATTTTGGTACACTTTTTGAAGAAAGAAATTCATTTGCAGAGTAGGTATGGAAATATCTTTTATCTGATAAATATCATTCATACATTTTTTTCGATTTGTTTTTGGAGTAATTCCTCATTTAAAATTTTTGAGTTGCGATTGCCATACTTAATCTTGATAACCAAATTCTGCATTCAATATTGATACAACTAATGGTTAAACAATAATGTACTCTCTGGTGGCACAAAATGAACAAAAGCACACTTTGCACGACATTATGAACCACCAAGAAGTATATATTTTGTTGCATTGTCAATGCCAGTGAATTTTCACACGTTAAAACTAAGATAATTTGGAAGAAACAACCGAAAACATTTAACAGAATCGTGACTACACTCAACTGCAGGAAGGTCTTCAAAATTCGTGGCATAACACGTACTCCCATTTAGTCTGCTGTGAAGTATTTTTGTCATTTCTTGCATTTTCGAGCACATTTAACTGGGATTCGTCGACATTGATAAAACGGGCCATCGTGTTTGCCTTTGGTGAGCTACGTTTATTTACGCGTTGAGCATCGGTACCGGGTGTTTCTCGCAAAGTTGGGATTGGCCAGTAGACTATTTGTGTTTGTTGTTATGGCAGGAATGATATTTTTCATGTAAAATAAAAACAAGTAATTATTTTTCATATAGCTCAGAGTTATTTATTTTCAGATTTGATTTTAATCGTTTTCACCCATAATTACCACTATTACTAAATGCCCGTCTGTTTATTTGTTTTCCGAACTCAACATTCTATTCCTATGCATGATACAGGGCCTTGTTGCTCAATGATGCAATACATTATCGCGAATAATCTGTGGCAATGACGTCATAAAATTTGCTGGTATTGACAATGCTATAATATAATAATAAATATAGCGTTGTCTAGCATAGTTACACTTACAACATGGTGCAACCTTGTCGCATGATAATAAACAGTACTATATTTGCTCTGTCATGCACTTACTCAAATGACCTAAGTGTGCCCTGGGTTTAAATAATTGTATGTTGTTATGAATACATTATAAATGCTTTATAAAATTATAGTTATTACATTATTTCCGATTCCGAGTGTGTTTCTGACTTTCGTTAAAGTTATGTGATCAACTATTACTAAACTGTCACATGACCAATAATAACAGGTCATAATGTTATTCCAACAGTGAGCTGACAGTAACGTCAGTCAACTATGTGTTGAAAGTAACGTCAGTCAACTATGTGTTGAAAGTAACGTCAGTCAACTATGTGTTGAAAGTAACGTCAGGGTTCTCCCCAGGGCTTTTTAGCGCTGAGGTCCGCGGCGCTATACCTGTGAATCTCGGCGCTTCACTTGGGACCTCGGCGCTATGTGTTCCCACCTCGGCGCTTGATTTCATATTTGACATGCCAATATCAGATGTGAAAAAGCTTTGTTCGCCACGCCGATCGGCCCCGACCGTCACTCAAAATTAGTGACCACCACGGAAATGCTTCCGACGAGGACTATTGTCTGATTGTTGGTATAATTACGTACCGACCGACACGCATCCTGCCAGTCGTGGATTATAATTTATAAACAATAGACTTAGTCGCACGATACGTAGCGGCTAGTCAAATTTGTGGAATTAGCACCTCTTTGTTTGTAAGTAAATACTTTCTG